TGATCCATCTCACTTCTGGAAAATGAAGGTTTTGCTTCACACAACTCATCCTGCATATTTAGGCAAACTTGAAGATCTCCCACTGCCCATAAACATGATTCAGAAGCAGATTTTATTGGCAATTTCCTACGACAAGAGCGATTATGCTGTTTCCCCTTCGTCTTGCATACACTGCAGAGGTGATAAATCAAAGGGGATTGAACTTGGAATTTCAATGTGCAGGATGCAGGAAATCATAAATACATATAAAAGTTGATGTGGCTTTTAAAACATAGCTCCAAGTGGATGCTTGCTTGTTATATTGAAACAGTTTTCAATGAAAACTCTTCCTCTTACATGTGTCCATGTTCCCTTCATGAAGCTAGAATTCTTTGCCTGACTGGAGAATAAATGAACATCATGGCATGCCCATTACTGCAGGTTAATAACCCATATTTTTTTCACTATGGATGAACATATCAGCCCAGAATTGCTAAGGGGCAGAAATGGCGAGATCATGGTATTACTTGTAATTATCATTTTCATTTTAATTGTTAATATTAAGCTAGGCTTAGGACAAAGAGATAAAGAGAGGTCCTCCTAGACAGGTAAACTATCTTAGTCCTTTAGGGACCCACCCCTTGTGGTCCTAGGAAAGGTCTTGACAAACTGTTGCTAATAACATAAAACCTTTCCAAATAGCAAAGAGGTAGCATGGAGTAGAGGAGAAAGAGAGCTGGGTTCAAGCCTTGCCTCTGACACATATTGGCTGTGTGACTTTGGGCAAGTCATTTAACCCTTTAGTGCTGGAGACAAGTTATAAGAATGAAGAAAAAGTATCCACTTGCATCAGTAGAGTTTCCTCACTATAGAGATCCCTGCATCAACATAACTAGAGGTCTGATGGACCATTTAAAAAGGAGTTCTTAACCTTGCATTTGTTTAAATTTTTTTTAAAAAAACTGTATTTTAATATACTTGGGCAACTGGTGGATAGAATGATGGACTTGGAGTCAGGAAGACCTGAGTTCAAAATCCTGTCTCAGGCACTTACTAGCTCTGGGATCCTGATCAAGTCGCTTAACATCTGTTTGCCAAAGTTTGCTCAACTTATAAAAATGGGGATAATAATGATTTGTACCTCACAGACTTACTTTAAGGACCATTAAGATAATATTTGTAAAGGGCTTTGCAAAGGGCTGTATCAATGCTAACTATTAATATTATTAATGTTATCACTGGTTTCCTTTGTAAACCCATATTTTATTTTCTACATTTTAAAACACAATTCGGAGAAGAGGCCTGTAGGCTGCACCAGACTTCCAAAAGTCCACAACACAAGAAAAGTGAAGTACACTTGAAGAAAACAGAAATAATTGGCTTTCTAGGTTTAAGTATCTACTTTGTGCACCAGAGATAACAGTTTTCTTGGCACAGGGTCTGGTGGTGTTTTTATTTTGTGCAGGCAACTATTTCAACAAATGTTTCAGCAAGATTAGTATTTAAAAATTTGTAATGTGTGATTGGCTTCAAGGTAAACAATTTCTGGAAATCCAAGAAACCTCTTTTTTTTCCTACTTAATACATGTCTTAAAAGGCCCAAGGCTAAAGGACATGATAGAAGACAGGGAAAAAAAATTTAAAAAAATCAGTAGAAACCAGGCATTTTCAAAACTGATTTTAGCTCCTTTTTGACACAGCCTCGATGCACGTATCTGTTTCATGGTATGCCCAATTCTCCACAGCTCATTAAACTGGGGGCCTGTAGGCAGTGGCACCAAGAATACTTTGTTCCTGCCTTTGGGCTTGGTTTTGTGAGCAGACAAATGGCAATCCAACAGACTGAGTCTTTCATTCCATTAAAATTGACCTTAGAGTCAAAATTGTCCCTCACTTTTGGGAAACCTCCCGCAGGGACTCCTATGGTTCTGGGCATTTATCCCTTCAAGTCTACTGCTTCATCCACTCTTCTTTCAAAAATGAGGATCCCCTTTCTTTCACCATGGGCAAATGGAGAATACAAACATGATTGAATCAAACAAAATGAACTTTTGGAGATAACTAAGTTAACCATGCATAAAACATTCTCGATTCTCCCTTGAATAGCACAAATTCAGTGTCCCCTGAGCGTTCTGTGATCTAACTTCATTTTTTATTTCATTTTTTTCCTCACTTTTTCTCTACTGGACCTGCAAAACTCTCTTCAGTGCATTACAGCTTAGATGCCAGGGGCACAGAGAAGTTAAGTGGTTTTCCCAGGGTCTCACAGCCAGTATATGTCAGTGGTGGCACTTGAACTCAGCTTTTCCTGATCCTGAGCATGCCTCTCTGTGCAATATGATACCGTGTTGCCTCTTACAGCCTGGGTATTTAAAGCTCTTTGATGGGCTCACCAAAGCTGGTGTGTATGGAGTTGGGATTTGAGATGGTGAATATATCTTGGACAGATTCATTTGTAGATGTATACCAAAGTTCTTGAGTGTGAGTGTGTATGAGTGTGTGTGTGTGTGTGTATGTGTATAGCTTGTGTCTTATCATTACACTGATATCAATGGGATGACCATTCAAAAGCAGTAACACATGTTAAACAAATCTTTAAAAATGGCAGCTCTTTAAGATGAAAACAGTACTTGAGAGCAGTGTTTTTCTCACAAGATCAGCTGTTCATGTATGAAACAGTAAGGATTCTCCCCAAAGGGCAATGAATTTACCACTGACCATCTAACTTATTTGCAATTTCTAAAAGTATGAAGTATTTCTCCTAATTATTAGGCACTAATTATTCTCCTGATTAGTTTTCCCTTGACTATTTGGGCCCAATAACTTTTCCACCTGCATTTTGGTCATATTTTTCTGAGTTCACTAGGAGACATTAAGTACAAAAGGAAGCAGCAAAGAGAAAGGGGAGAAAGTGTATTAACCCTTACCTGAAAGGCATTCTGACATTCATGACTTCTGCGTATCTGCCTAGCACCTCCCAGGGGGCATGCAACTTCACGAAGATAATGTCACTATTTATGACAGAGGACTGAAAGAAAAAAGATTAAGTATTTCAAAGTCACTTGGGGCTTAATTTGGGATGGAATGGGAAAAAATAGCATATGTAGGGCTCTCCTGCTTAGTATCCACATCACCTTCCAGTGACCATTAGAGTGAGGAGAGAAATGGATAGAGCATTTATACAGTGCTTACTATGTGCCAGGCACTATGCTAATTGTCGAGGTTCTTAGAGAGGACACATTGACCTATCCTAAGTCGGTGTTGCTGTAGTTTAGTAACATGTATTTCTCATGAGATCATGGATTTAGAGCTAGAAGGGGCATTAGAAGTCAAATAGGTCAATCTCCTTGAGTAACCATAGGTGGACAGGGGAGGGATAGGGTCAGCTCTGGCACTTTCATTCCTGGCTGGTAAAGCAATGCAGGTTTGCAAAGCCACACCCAGTGGGCTGTGATTTCCTCATTTGACTGCCTTCCAAGTACCTTATGTGTGGTCGTAAGTACACTCTTTCCTTCAGTCCATGTTGATATAATTCCCTTGCCAATAGGTCTACAGTGATGTGGGCCAATCTACCCCCTGCATCAGTCCATCAAGGCCACTGAGAGCACACCCATCCCATTGTTCATTCTGACCATGCTCAACCAGTGGAACTAACTTAGGAACAGGTGGGGCAAATCATTCTACTCTCCTGAGCTGTAATAATAGACCTTTGCTTCCAAAGCCTCTGGTGTTTAGTGTATCCCTCCAATCTGAACTCCTATCCAGAAAATTTCATTTTATAGATGAGGACATTTGAAGCTCACAAGAGTTAAGTGATGTGGTCCAGGTTATGCAGGAGGTAAATGATAGAAGTGGGATTTGGACCCAAGTCTCTTAATTTCAAATCCACTAAAGTTTGCATTGTACTGTGATGCCTCTTCTGGGGGCCATTCACCTGGGCCCCCACGCTGGTGTTCTCTCTGACACTCCTCTCTCCCAAATCTCTCATATCTAATCAATCATTTATCCTATTAATGAACACCTACTGCAATGTCTTTCACTTTTGTCCCTTCCTCTCTAGTCTCTCTGCCCCCATCTTGGAAGAGGCCTTCATTATCACTCACTTAGACTATCGCAATAGCCGGCTTCCATGCTCTCATACAAGGGATGTTAGCAACTGATTAGAAATTTGGGGTGAGGGATAATGAGGATTGAGGATAATTCCAAGATGACAAACCTGAGAGACTGGAATGATGGTGGTAGCTTTAACAGAAATGAGACAATTTGGAAGAGGAATGAGTTGAGATGTGTCTATGTGTAAAGATAATGAGCTCAATTTTGGCCATGTTGAGCTTGAGATGCTTTCATGAAATCCACTTCTTTTGAAATGTCCAAAAAGAAATTGGTGATGGGGAAATGAGGCAGAGAGGAGAGAATGGTATTGGATAATAGAGATTTGGGAGTCACCATCTTAGGGAAATCATTAAACTGATAGGAACGAATAAAGTCACCGAGACAGTAAGGAGAAGTAGAAGGCCTAGGACCAAACCCTGGAGAATGGCCACATGGGCTGAATGATGAGCCAGCAAGGGAACCTAAAGTGTGGTCAGACAGAACAGTGGAGAATTGGGGAGAAGTGTCATGAAACCCCAGAGGGGAGAGTGTAGCCAGCAGGAGAGCATGGTTAGCAGTGTCAAATGCTGCAGAGAGTCCGAGAAGGATGAGGTGAGGATGAAAAAAAGGCCATTAGACTTAGAAATGGAGAGATCATTGGTAACTTTGGAAAGATCAAATTTAGGTGAGTGAGGAGGTGGGAAGCCAGACTGCAGAGACTGAGCAGTGAAGGGATAGGAGGTAGAGACAGTTAATTTAAACAGCTTTTCCTAAGCATTTCATAGAAATATAAAATGATAGTTTCAGGGAAAGGTGAGGTTGGGGGATATTTTTTAAGGATGGAGGATACTTGACATGTGTTATACTTGTTCTGTATATTTGTACTCACGTCCTTGTGGTCTCCCCTTTAAGAGTATAAACTCCTTGAGAGCAGGAATTGAGACATTCATTGTTTCTATCTCCCTACTGTTGAGCACCTGGTCCTTGGCTTAATACATAGTCACTTAATAAGTACTTGATTGATCGACTGATTGCTCTCATGGCCAGAATTGTCTTTCTTACAGAGAGATCTGGTTGTGACATTATTTTGCCCAAGAGCCTTCAAGAGCTCCTAAGTAAAAATCAAACTCCTCGGCCCTCCACAACATTTATTCCACCGTGGCCCTACCTCATCTTTCTAGTCTCACATCAATTCTCCCTATATGCTAAATAAACGGGGCTACTTTGTATTCCTTCAGAATGCAGTGAGTTCTAAAATGCTGATATCTTTGTCATTGCTTCTTCCTATGTCTGGCATTTCTTTCCTGTTTCTCTTCTCCTATTTAGTTCCCATCCATTCACAATGTTAGCTCCTTCCTGATCCCCTTGGCAGTAACTTACTATGCGCCCTGCAAACAGTGCTTTAGCTTCTGTGGATAGAAAGAAAGAAATGAATTTCTACCCAGTACTAGTGGGAGGGTGCAGTCCACTGTAGGAAACAGTTTACAAAAGCCCGACTGCTCCCATCTCATGTTTTTTATCAAGAATGTCCTTCATATATGCAAAGATGATTCTCATAAATATTTTACAGAAAGAGAAAGTTGGTGCATGAGGCCACAACTGCTGATGTTTTCTCGGCCATCTTTCTTTAGCAATTGTGCAATCCATGATCTTTTCTATACATCTGTGATCCTCCCTTCAGAGAATGTTAAAATGATAATAATACTTATTATTATTGTTGTTATAACTAACCTTTATATAGTGTTTAACATTTTCAAAGCACTTAACATATTTTAGTTGATCCTCATAATAAACCTCTGAGGGAGCTGCTACTATTATCTCCATTTTACAGATGAAGAAACAGAGTGTTAAATGACTTACCCAGGGTCACACCGCTAGTAGGTATCTGAGGCAATATTCAAACTCAGATCTTCCTGATTCTAATTGCTGTGTTCTATCTACCCTATCTCCTAGCTATCTTGAAAAGAGATTCCTGAAGGCCTTTAAAATGGTTGCCCCAGCTTGAATTTCTTCTGGGTATATTCGGTCAGTTCCAGACAATGCACAAAACTCTATCTCCTGTGAGCTACTGCCTCCTCCTTCCTGAGCCTGGTAGAGCTCCAGTTGGAAGAGCTCCAGCATCATTGCTGATGGAATAGAGTCACCTCTGAATCAGCAGCGGACTTGTCTCCTTCCTGGTCTGTCTCTGTTGTGAACCTTGCTGTTTTACCAACAAACGCTCTCAGGATGACTGGGCTTTGCTGGGCCTTGGGCCAAGTCCTTGGCAGGCTCACTTCCCCCTCAACGGCTTTCTGCTGTTTCGTGAGTCAAGGCTGAGTTACACAATCTCAGAGGCCCTCCGGCCCAGACTGTAAATGAGCAAGAAGCCCTTCCACAAGGTACACGTTAAGCAGCCATCTAGTCTTTGCCTGAAGACCGCCAGTGAGAGATCACCCGATATTTGTTGAAGTGGCCCATTCCAATTTGGGATTATTTTAATCGTTAGGAAGCTGTTTCTTACATTGGGCCTACATCTGGCTCTTTGAACTTTCCACCCATTACTCCTTAAATTCTGTCTTCTGGCGCCAAAGAGAACTAGTTTAACCCCACTTGTGGTAATCTTTTAAATAATTTGAGACTGCTCTCATGTTCCCCTTAAACTTTCCCTTCTCCATGGAAAAATCCTGAGTGCTTTCAACCAATGTTCTGTTAGCATGATCCACCCACAGACTCCGTGCCTTTTTGCTGGCCACCCCCCTCCCACCTCCATCCTTGGAACCTTCTCTTTCCTTCCTTCCCCTCCTAGCTAACTCCTGGGCTTCTTCGAAGACTCAGCTTCTTCCACTTTCTGCAGGAGGTCTTTTCTGATGCGCCCCATGCCCAGTACCTTCCTTCTGAGGTTACCTTTCATCTACCCTGTACACATCCTGTAGTCTGTATATTGTCTTCCCAATTAGACTGTGACTTCTTTGGGGGTAGGGCATGCTTTCTGCTTTCTTTGTATCTCCAGCACTTAGTATAGTACCTGGCGCACAGGAGACACTTAATAAATGCGTGTGGCATTTCATTAAATGCCATGCACGTTCTACTTTCAGGTTTTTCTCAAATATTCCATTGTGTGATGGATTCCAACGTGAAGCTTAAGGTCCGTACCTCCAATATTGCTTCCATCAGTTGCAAACAGACACTTACTAATTCTTCATGGTCATTGATTTTGCGTGGATATAGAACATCATGCCTGGAAAGCTCCCCTGTGTTCTCCACCCAAGGCAAACTAATACCTTGACTACTTTTCCATATGTATGCTCTCTATTCTTTTGAAAAAAAGATGAGTGAAACTCTGTAGTGCACAGCTGGTCCCTGTTGACTCACACCATCATTAACTTTTGATGCATCCATCTGAGGGTCTTTTTAAAGAGCCCAGCTTTCCTCAACTGCAATATTTTTCAAAACATACTCCTGATATGCTTCTTACCAATCTGTATAAATTGCTTTTAAGAAGGTTTTGATCATCAAGAAAGATAGCCTTCCAGTAATGCAGAGCAAGGACAAGTGTCTTATATACAAACATTTATGCCTTCAAGACTTAACGTTTGTCCACTCTATATTTAAATTGCTCAGAAATATTAAAAGCTATTTTGACAGGAAAGAGAGGATATCCATGCCATTTTCCTAAGTAATGATCATTTTCGGTTGCTGTTGCATATTTAAACGTACAGGGCTTTTGCATCATTAACATTCAGCTTTTCTAAGAGCAAACAATGGAATGAACATGAGTCCATTTCCCAATACCAAGTGTGTTCTGAAGATCACCCTCTGAAAAAAGAAATCTGACACAATTGATTACTGGTTAGACAGCTTCTACATCATCTTTCTTTTACTGCAAAATATCTTTGCTATCGCCTCCAAATAGATTTTCCAAGGTAGTAAGCATTTCTTTTCACAGAAACTGAAATG